AATCCGCCAGTGGCTCAGAAGGTTGAGTCAGGAGGATCACAAATTCAAAGCTAGACTCAGCAACACTAAGAGGCTAAACAACTCAGGGAGACCCTGTCTCTAAATGAAACATTTAAAAGGGTTGGTGATGTGGCCCGGTGGTTAAGCACCCCTGAGTTCAATCCCTGGTTAAAAAAAAAAAAAAAAATCATACTTGATTACTATCATCCCACTGAAACAAAGAAAGATGGGTATGAGGGACTCCAATTATGAGGAGATGCCCAGGAAAAGCATAGTCAGGATTTTTCAATTTGTAAGCCATGGCTTTTGTTTTCTTTCTATGATCTGCTCTATATCTTCTGGCCAGCTGCCACAGAGTTAAAGCACTAACCCTCCCTGCACACTCTCTCCTCCCAGGTCACAGGCAAGGCCCCAATTAAAACAGAGTTGTAAAAATGTAAAACAAACTGTGAGGAATCACACACACAGAACTTCAAATGGCCAACCTCGAAATCATTGAATTTGCTTAGGTTCACAGGCCTAAGTTTGTTACAGGGGTTCACTTGATGCTTTGACTATATCCCTTAGGGTTTGAAACTTCAATGTTTTTTTTTTTTTTTTCCCAACCTTCTCCTTCCTGATCTTCTCCTCCCTGATCATCTTTTCCCTAACCTTTTCCCTGATCTTCTCTGATCTTCTTTTCTCTGCCCTTTTCCCCTGATCTTTTCTAATCTTCTTTTCCCTAAACTTCTCCTCCCTGATCTTCTTTTCCCTGATTTTCTCCTTCTTGATCTCTCCTCCCTAATCTCATTTTCTCTGAATCACCTCTATAAAAGCCCCATTCCTGCAGATGGACAGAATCGCAGCCTTTAGGACAGGAGTTCCCTGTGTTTATCCTTTGCTAACAAAGCAATAAACCTTCTTTTTCCTTTTTCTCAAAACCATGTCCTTGTTATTGGATTGGCATTGGGGACAAGGACCAAGCTTTTGGTTATAGGTTAACAAGGTGGCCTCAGGACTGAGTTAAAATGCCAGTTCTAGAACTGACCATTTATCAACACTGATGAACCTCCTTGGTGCTCAATCTCTGAGATCAAACAATCTCACAAAAAGATGATATATATGCCTATAATTCCAGCAACTCAGAGGCTGAGGGAGGAGGCCTGCAAATTTGAGGCCAGCATCAGCAATTTAGCAAGATCCTACCTCAAAACTAGATAAAAATTGGGGCAGTCCTGGGAGTATACTCAATGGTAGAGCACCCCTAGCTAGGTTCAATCTCCAGTATCCCCCACCTAAAAACAAAAAAAAACTACATGCTCAGAAGTAGCTCTGCAAGGCAAGCTTTACTTTTGCAGAAGGTTGTGTACTGAACTCAGTCTGGCAAACAAGCACACTTGGTTGGCCAGTCTGCCTGGTTTTTATCCCTAATGCAGAACTGCCTCTTGCTCTGACAGGAGAAACTTGGGATTACAATCCATGTGACTGATTAATTTAAAATAGGATTGGCTTATTTCACTTAGCATGGTGTCCTCCAACTCCATCCATTTACTGGCAAATGCCATAATTTCATTCTTCTTTAAAGCTTAGTAATATTCCATTGAATATATGTATCATATTTTCTTTATCCATTCATCTATTTAAGGACACCTAGGTTGGGGTTCCACAGTTTAGCTATTGTGAAGTGAGCCACTATAAACATTTTTTTGTGGCTGCAGTCACTGTAGTATGCTGATTTTAAGTCCTTTGGGTATAAACCAAGGAGTGGGATAGCTGGGTCAAATGGTGGTTCCAATTCACACTGAGGGGGGCGGGGCACTAGGGAAGAATAGAATTACCTTAGATTAGGTAGAGGGGAGTGAAAGGAGGGGAGGGGAGGGGATATGGAAGATAGGAAGGATAATAGAATGAAACAGACATTATTACCTTTTGTACATGTATGACTGCATGGCCAATGTGATTCTACAACATGTACAATCAGAAAAATGAGAAATTATACCCCATCTATGTATGATATTATCAAAGTGCATAAATGCATTCTACTGTCATGTATAACTAATTAAAACAAATTTTAAAATTATAAAAAAAATAGGGAAGGGAAAAGGGAAAGATTATAGTTGCATTGAATACATGTTAGGGAGCTAAAAAATGGCTACATTTTAACCATATGACTTGGTAACTTTAAATGTCTCCATAATACATCCTGGAATCTAGGTTATAGTAAACATGTTTATGTATTACATTACAAGTTTAACTCTGACAGAAAAAAAAAAAGCAGTGACATTGCACTAAGCATTCATCATCCAGCTTGTTGGCTTGTCCCTGATAAGAATTTTTCTTCTCCTTCCACTTGTCTCATGAATTGTCGACACTTTTGAGTGGCAGCAGAGAACTGAACTCTTCCCAGTTATGGTGAAAGGGAGACATACTACAAATAGAGAATCCCTTTACAGATGTGAATTTCCATTTCAAAAAGATAACTTTCATGGTTTTCAGAGTTTCTCCTCTATCTGTATTCTCAAAATAACCAGCTCAGAATAAGCCTTATTAAATATGGTGGTGACATTTCAGTCTTCCACTGTGCAAGTCCAGGCCAGCGAGGAGGGGCAAGTAGACCCCAACCCAATCTCAAACTGGGGATTGAATTCAGGGATGTTCTACCACTGATCTACATCCCCAGCCTTTTTAGTTTTTCTTTAGAGACAGGTCTCCCTAAGTTGTTGGGGCTGGACTTAAAAGTTGCAATCCTCCTATCTCAGGTTCTCCAGTGGCTGGGATTACAGGTGTGGGCCACTGGGCTACTAGCCTCCTCCTCTTGATAAGAAGATTGTGGTTTTGTTTGTACTATAGCTAGCACCACTGTTGCTGAAAACTCAGTCCTTGTCCCCAATGCAAACCCAATAACGAGGACATGGTTTTGACAAAAAGGGAACAATTTTTATTTAATTCATGCTTTATTATATACATCTCCTCATAGAATCCTTATGATAATGTGGTAGGAACTCACTTTATACATAAACTGAGGCTCAGAGAATAGGAAATTTGTTGAAGATCACACACCTGGTAAATAACCTGTGGGAGATACAAACCCAGATGGTTCTGATCCCCCCAAAAGTTCAAAACTGCAAAGAGCATAAAGACAGAACTCATCTAGTAGTAAAATAGGTTTTCAAGTAAAGTTTCTATGTTAGCTTTTTGTCTCTGTGACCAAAATATCAGACAAGAACAACTTTGAGGAGGAGAAGTTTATTTGGGGCTCATGGTTTCAGAAGTTTACTCCATGGTGGGACTGACTCCCCCATGGCCTAAGGCAGGCAGATCATGGAGAAAGGCCATAGTGGAGGAAAGTCACTCGCTTGATATAAGTCAGGAAGTACAGAGTAAGTGGCAGGAGCCAGGAAGAAGATGCATAGTTCCCAAGGCATTCCCCCAGTGACCCACCTCCTCCAGCCATGGCCCACACCTGCCTAAATTTACCTCCCAGTTAATCCATTCAAATTATTAATCCATCATATGGATTAATCCATTAATTAGGTGACAAGTCTCATAATCTAATATTTCACCTCCTGCATTAATACAGGAGGTTTTGGGGGACACCTCACATCCAAATCATAACAATTCCTTTTGACACAATTCTAGGTTCGTCCCATAAAAGCTAGTTTAATTTATAAAATATGACGTGTGAAGAGAATAAAGTAAATAAAATAAAAACTATGAACAGATACAATTAGAGACTTTTTCCGTGTCTGCCACTAAAAGCCACATCTTGCTTTCTCTGCTATTTGTGGTAATCTACTCTGATCAAGAGTGAAGGAATAGGGCTGGGGTTGTGGCTCAGGGGTGGCGTGCTTGCCTAGCATGCATGGGGCACTGGGTTCGAATCTCAGCACCACATACAAATAAATAAATAAATAAAGGTCCATCAACAACTAAAAAATATTTTTAAAAAAAGAGTGAAGGAAGAGATTGGTGGTGGAGATGGGGTCATTTAAAATAACCCATTTCCTAAGTATCAAGCTACAGATTATGAGAAGCATTTCAATTTTTAAAATATTTTTATTGTTTCTTTTTAGGTATATGTAACAGCAGAATCCATTTTGACATAATTATAGAAGCATGGGTTATAACTTATTCTAATTCATTATAACTCATTCTAATTCACACGTGTGGTGGACCCACTTGTTAGGGGACGCACACGGCCTCTCTCTAAATAAAACTTTGTCTCAGTTTGACTGGTTTGTGTTTTTGTGCCCAACCGGGTTGTAAGATTGCAAGCCCGCGTGCACTGACAGCTCAACAGGGAATCGCTCAGCAGGGGTGCGGCAGGCAGGGCTCGGCGATAGAGGCGGCAGGAGCGGAACTCAGCCGACCCGGGGCCGGGCAGCCTGTGGCAGTAAAGCATTTCAAGTTATCTGAAAGGGCCTCATGTATTAGTGTTTTTTCTAGGTAATGAGGGAAGGTTGGCAAAGTAACATAAAGAGGGATGTCAGTTGGGGCTGGGATTGTGGCTCAGTGGCAGAGTGCTTGCCTAGCATGTGTGAGGCACTGGGTTTGATTCTCAGCACTGCCTATAAATAAATGAATAAAATAAACATCCAACAATATCTTAAAAAAAAAAAGAACAATATCAATTCCCAGGACTTACCAGAGAAGGGACTGAGGCAGGATTGGCTACCAGGAACATGGAACTTGCTAGGAAGAAAACAAAGCCCTCTAAGGAAGTGTCTGGGATCCGCCACAGCAGTGAACAGTCATAATGCTCATGACGAAGTAGTAAGGATAGCAAGGCAGGTTCTCAGTCTCTTTTTATTACATACTGAAGTCCCAAAAACCTTCTAAAGAAGAGATTATAGGCATTAGCAGCAATTGCTATTTCATGCTTACAGTGCTGTTCCCTGGAGGTCTCGTATTCTGGGGGCAGTTGGACAAGTCCTAAGTGGACAGTACCAGAGTAGAGAACCAAGTCCTCTAATACATGTGACAGATACGTAACTAGTGTCTACAGCGGTGACTCTCTATGTTTAGCGAACAACAGGTTCTGCCAACTCCTGGATCCTTGAAGAACATTGTGCTTTCAAAGCAGCCGGCTTGACTTTAAAGGCATTAGGATCGTAGAAGAGAACATGCATAGGAGCCCTGAAATGGGAGGAAAAGAAATCAGCCTGAAGAACTAGAGTTTCCCAAGCACCCACTATGTGTTAATCACTAGGACATCATCTCATTGAGATTTTCATGACCTCCACTTGCAGACAAGAAAAGGAAGGCTCAAAGAGGTTGTAAGAATGATCAATGGCCAAATCCAGATTTGCACATCTGTCAGATTCCAAAGCCTTTGCTCTTTTCACAGAAAGTGAATTCTGGAAAATTTTCAATAATTAGCAATGTTAAAATAAGCCAGACAGTCCCCTATAGTCATCCATCAGTCTAGAAAAATATGTAATTCTTTTGTGGGTATGCTGGGGATCAAACCACAAGTGTTCTTTCTACCTTGAGCGTCTCTAAGCAAATGTATTTTTTCTTACACAAATTACAATAGTGCTCTGTTTCGCAACTCATTTCAACGAACAATATACATTGGATAAATATTTCATCTCCATACATTCAGAGCTATCTTCTAAATCTAAGTTTCGGTGCCTAGTCCACTACCCTACTGGTATCTTTATATTTATTAGAATAAGACCATTTATTTGTCACAATAAATGTAACTAGTGAGCTGGATGTGGTAGCACTGTAATCCCAGCGGCTCAGGAGGCTAAGGCAGGAGGAGCTCAGGTTCAAAGCCAGCCTCAGCAAGTTAGTGAGGCCCTAAGTAACTCAGCAAGACCCTGTCAGTAAATAAAAAAATGGCTGGGGATGTAGCTCAGTTGTTAAGCGACCCTGGGTTCAATCCCTGGTACTAAAACGAACAAACAAAAAAAGTAACTAGTGACATGTTATTGCCATTTTTTAAAATTTTGACGACTCTTTTCATTAACCTTATTAGATCAACCTTCTCCCTGTCCCCAGACACCCAACCTGTCCTAGTCCACATTAGCCTTAAATTGGCATACCTTGAACTTGGATTAGCTAGTTCCTGAATTCTAGCAGATATCTGAGAATGGGTAGCAGCATGAGACACTGGCCACTGGGCATCACGGGCAGGTAGGTAATCTTGATGGACAGGCTTGAATTTAGCTAGATCTAGCGTTCGGGAGCTAGGTATGGCGAACATGGCTGCCGGGGATACCTGTAGGGGAAACAAAGAGACACAAAAATACATCCCAGCTTTCACCACATCTCCCTGTCTCGACAGCTGGCTCCCGTCCCTCTCCTGGATTGCTGCAACAGACTCCTGACAGGCGTCCTACTTCCATCCTGGCCTGTGCGATCCAGCCTCCCCATGAGAGTTACCAGGGAATGAACAAGTAGATAGCGTGTTCCCTGAGACAGATGGAGTTCTAAGTGATTTGCCCATGTCACTCTCACTTCATCACTATGACAACCCCATGAGGGTTTTTATTTTAATTTATTCATTTATTTGTACGGGGGATTGAACTCAGGGGCACTTGACCACTGAGCCACATCCCCCGCCCTGTTTTGTATTTTATTTCCAGACAGGGTCTCACTGAGTTGCTTAGTGCCTCGCTTTTGCTGAGGCTGGCTTCGAACTTAAGATCCTCCTGTCTCAGCCTCCCAAGCCCCTGGGAATATGGGCATGCGCCACCGCACTCAGTGAAGTAAGCCCTTTCTAAAGCCCAATCAGAACATGGCACTCCAGGCTTGAAACCCTTCCTGTAGCTGCCCATTTTGCTAACATAGCTTCTTCCTGTGCCTAAGAGGCCCTGTAGGATTGGGCTATCTGCCATTTCTCTGACCTTCCCCACTGGGTCACTATGACCCTGGTCACAGGAGGCCCCTCTGGTCCAGCTTCTTCTGCTCATGACCTTTATAGCTGCTAATTCTGCTTGAAAACCTCTTTCCGAGATCTTGGCTTGACTGCCTCTTCCTCTTCCAAGTGTCTGGACTCAAACATCAAGTCCTCACAGGGGGCTTGCTGACCAGCCAAAATAAACCAGCCTCTCCAATGAAGCACCTCTGTGGTTCCCATCTACTCTCCTGGCTAGCAGTTATCCAGACCTGAACCAGCTTGTGAAGTACTGCTTATTGCCTGCTTCTCCCCAACAGAATAGAAGCCACTGGAGAGGATTTGCTTGTTGGGCAACAACTAGAACAGGCTCTGGCTTGTAATTGGTGCTGATAATATGTCAACTGACAGTCCCCCTTTGCCGGATGGCCTTTCTATTATGTGGCTTTATCGGTAAAATAAGAATGACATGTAGCTACTGTTCTCTCTGTTAAGTGTTCATCCTAAACTTCTCAGCCACCCTGAAAGTATTCTGAGTTGCATGAGGCCAGTGAGTTCTGGATTCTAACAGTATGATTTTTCACAGCAGTATCTCCCCTTTTTTAAAAACTTGTTGTAAAACAAAAAACTCAAACAATTCTAGCAATAAAGGAAAGATATCTATCATGCCCATTTCCATACCAAAAAAAAAATAGCATTAAGTAATTTTCCTGCAAATTCAAGACACTCTCCCAAGAGTTTTTGGTTCCCAGAATGGTTTTCCTTTTTAAATCCTAAGGTTCCCAGAGAGAGGATGGACCTGGTTCCTACCTCTTTCGGCAACATGATATTTAATGAAAACCCAACTGAGACAGGGCACCAAGTTGGCACTGCAATTAAAGAAGGGAAATATCAAGGAGGAAGAGGAGGGAAGCCAGTGGGTGCACCAGGCTCCAGGCTGAGCACTTGCCTTTGCTGCTACTATGTCACAGCTGACCTCTAAGTAGGAGGTCAAACACCTGCCATTCCCTTGCTCACCTGCTCCACCCAAGCTCACCCCAGATTGAGGACTTGGGTATGTGCTCTTCCCTACATTGGAACATTCTTCTCCCAGATCTTCACTCATCTGACCCCTACTCCCTCTTCAGGGTTGGCCCGAACTTTTATTCCTTAGAGTGGCATCACCAACTACCACATGCCAAGTAAATTATTCCCCACCACCACCACCACAGTCATCACTTCCTATTTCATTTTCTCCATAGCATTTATCACTACCTGGCATTGTCTTATCTTTTTACTTATTTATTGCCCCCCCCCAGGAGCTGCATTTGTTCCCTGGGAAGAGTACTTGGCACACAGTACACCTTCGAATACTGAATGACCAAGGCTCAGGAAGGCTGCCTCGACATCATAAAGCTAGCATGGGTGAGGTGGGAATTTGAACCCAGCTCCAACTCCTCTGCCTCCCTCGGTCATCATGTAGCTAGGTTTTCCTTCCTGCCACAGAACACTCTTCCAAGATTCTTTCTTTCAATGATTTTGGGCTATGTCCTGTAGGGGGAGAGGGGAACACCTTAGGAGCAACCAGAAAGAGCAGAAGGATGGCAAGAGGGGCAGTGGTGGCTTACAGGTCGGATGGGCATTTCGCTTCTTTGTCTCTCATAGCACAGACCATCTAACTTGATCTTTGGGTGGGCAAGGTCTATAATTCTTGGAGTTGCAATAGCACCCAGGGTAGAAACTGAAATCTTAGTTTTAACCTAGAGAAGAAAAATAAAACAGTACCTATAAGTATTAAATACTAAACACCATCTAGTTCCAAGATTAAAGAGTATTATCTGATCTCTGGTCCAGGCTTCCCAGTAACCAGCAGAAATGATGAGAATCTTACAATAACCCCTGGTCACATCTGGAAGGTTCAATGTCTCAAACTATATAGATTCCAAACCAACTTTTTAGGAACTTACCTGTTAGACTACAGAGATAGAGGACATAGCAAACAATGTTACATATCGACTCAGAAATAAATGATAGCATTGATTTGTAGACTGATAAACTCTGGGAAGATTCAACCCTATCACAGAATAATGCTTTACCAGATAGATTCTGCTTTGTTCTTGATTATTTTTGCCCTTTGGAAAGTGGGACTCATATTATCACTGTGCCAAAGGGAATTTAAGTGGCTGTCTTGGATAAATAAGGAAAAAAATAGCCAGTAGGAAAATAATGAAGCCAATAAGAATAATGGAGAACTATATACCTGCATTGGACCCCCAAATCATTCCTCATTTTCTTGATTATGAAAATTAGATCAAATTACATGGCCCTCTATTTAAATTACTTGTATTTGAGTAACTTCTTATATAAGATTTGAAAGGGAATATAATCAACAACTGGAAATAAAATAACTCTTCAACCATGGGTAGAAAAATATGGTATACATAAAGTATTTTCTGAATTCTTTCCTGTGTTAGTTAAATGATGATGATGATGACACTAACACTGACAGTTTCACATGTAATTAGTTTATTTCTCTCCTGGAGTATCAATTTTATTTCTATTTCACTAATGGTGTAACCAAGGTGCTTGAGATTCAGTAGTTGAAGTTTACATAGTTAGTAAGCGGCAGGTCTGGAATTCTAACCAAAGGTCTTGCATGTTGGTACAACACCATGAAGGACTGATTAAACATTTAAGCATTTCCTATGAATAAAGCTTTTGTCTCCTATCAGGCTCTGGCAAATTGAAGAAGTATGTGGCAACCATTGCCTTCAATTAAGCCTTCCAATCAAAAAGGAAATAAAACAATCAATCATTAATTCAATTCATTAAACAAATATTTCTTAATCAAGTATATTATGTAATGCATAATAAATAATAATAAAATACAGTTTTTTTCCTTAATGTAATTTTCACCTTATAAAGAACCATAGACCTCTAGACAAATAATTAAGATTATTTGGTGCTCAAAAGAGAAGGAGAAACAAAAAATATCAGATGAAAGGTGGGAAAAAATCAGGAAGGATGCTCTTTTTTTTTTGGCAGAGGTAGGTACCAGGGATTGAACTCAGGGGCACTCGACCACTAAGCCACATCCCCAGCCCTAATTTGTATGTTATTTAGAGACAGGGTCTCACTGAGTTGCTTAGCGCCTCACTTTTGCTGAGGCTGGCTTTGAACTTGCCATCCTCCTGCCTCAGCCTCTGGGATTACAGGCATGTGCCATACCCAGCAAGGACGCTCTTTTCAGGGATAAAGAGTCATTGGATTGGACCTTGAAGGAAGGATCAGATTTTGACAAATGGAGGAGGAAACATGAGGGAAATGAAGGAAGGGGGCCTGAGGACATTGGTGGTTGAGAGTGGGGCAGGTTATGCAGGAAGATCAGGCTTGTGGATACACTTGAAACCAGGTGAGGAGGGTGGGAGGGCATCTTCACAACCAGGGAAGAACCAAGGAGCCTTCACTAGACAGGAAACAGGATCAAAGCTGGAGACTACCCTGCAGCAATGAATGAGAAAGACACGCAGGGCCACAGGAAGCAGGGAGGCAAGGAACCTACCGGTCCAAAGAAGAGAACCAAACACCTTTTCCCATTCTGAAATGGTGTTAGGGCAGGTACTGGGGGTTTAGTCCAGGGGAGCTGTACCATTGAGCTCAGCCCCCACCCCTTTTTTTCTTAAGACAGGGTTTTGCTAAGTTGCTTAGGCTGGCCTCCTGCTTTCAATCCTCCTGCCTCCGTCTCCCAAGTCACTGGGATGATAGCTTGTATGCCCAACAAAAGTGCTTAAGCATAAAACATAGCACAAAGATTCCCAGGGAACACCATGTAGGTTAAGAAATAGAACATGGCCCCAGCTACGGGGGCATGCACACTTGTGATCCTGGTGCCTCAGGAGGCTGAGGTAGGAGGATTGCAAGTTTGAACCCAGCCTCAGCCACAACCAGATCTTAAAATAGTTTCTGAAGTTACAATAATTTAAACAAAACGATACCTACATAATAACAGATCAATGTAACCAGAAATATAAGCGAATACAGTGGCTTTCAACTGTTCTTTTAACCTAGTAATATCCCATGCTTGTATAATTTTGTCAAAATGAAATTCCACTGTCATGTATAACTAAGAAGAACCAATAAAATAAAACTCTTAAAAAGTAAATGAGAGCTTCCAAATATGAAAACAGTTTTTAAAAATTATTCCATCTAAAACGAACAAGAGGGGCGTGGGTTTTGCTTGGTCGAAAATCCCTTCCCTAGCAAGAGGCCCTGGGTTCAATTCCCAGCACTGACAATAAATGAATAACAATAATAAACACATTACACGTTGATAAACAGACACTTATGACACAACTCTGTTTTTCAAAATAAAAAATAGTGAGCAGAGTCATGTTTTGCATTTTTGCAAATACCTTTAATATCTGCCTGAAGAAGATACTGTTTTATTTTGTTTGTTTTTCAGTACTGGGGATTGAACCCAGGTCTTCGTGCTGGTTGGGCAAGCACTCTACCACTAGCTACATCCCCTGCCCTTTTAAAACAGGGTCTTGCTAAGTTGCCCAGGTTGGCCTTGAACTTGCTGGGAACACAAGTGCATGCCACCATACCCAGCCATACACCCCTTTTAATAGCCAGATTTTTTATTATTTGGTAAAATTTCTGGTTTGAAAAAACACTAAAAGCAACGATGTATAGAAGTCCCCACATTAACAGAGTAAAAGGCGGACAAAATCGTAATTGTCCCCTCAATAGATCTGGAAAAACATTTGGGGAAATTCAATTCTAATGTTTTTAACATTAGAATTTAAAGAAGGGAAAAAAAACTCTTTGGAAAAACTCAGAGTAGAAGAGATTTTGTCCAACTTAATAAAGAAAATCATCAAAACCTGAAGCTAACATCATGTTTTATGGTAAATATTGAACACTTCTTCACTAAGATGAGGAACAAGGCAAGAATTCCCACACTCACCAGTCTGTGTCCCATGAACTAAACTCCTAGCCAATACAAAGGGCAAGAAAAATTATTAAAAGTCCCTTGGATTAGAAAAAAAATTATTCACAGATGATATGATTTTATACATATACAGAGAGAAAATCCAAAGGAATCTATGAAAAAACTAATAGATTATGAGAATTTAACAAGGTCATAAAGTCAACATACTATCAATAAACAATTAGAAAATCAAATCAAAAATACCACTTAGAGATATCATCAAAAACATAAAATACTAAGACAGATAGGGCGGTGTGTACCTATAGTCCGAGCTACTTGGGCTGCTGAGGTAGGAGGAAGACTTGGGTACACAAACTGGAGCCCAACCAGGGCAACACGGTGATACCCCAATCTCAAATAAAACAAAACGAACAAACAAAAAAACATAGAATAGGAGGGAAAAAATAACAAAAGGTGTGTAAGAACTCCACACTGAGAACTATATAAAACATCATTGAAAGAATTAAAGATGCTCTAAATAAATAGGGGAGATATAAAATGTTTATGGATTAGAATACTATTACTAAGATGTAAATTTTTATTAAATTATTTTACATATTCAATGCAATCTTACTCAAAATTCCCACAAAACGCTTCTTTGTATCTATTGTTATTTTATTATTTATTTATTTTTGGGACTAGAGATTTAACCCAGGGGTACTTTACCACGGAGCTACATCCCCAGCCCTTTTTTTTTTTTTTTTTTTATTTTGAGAAAGGGTCTCACTAAGCTGCTAAGAATGGTCTCAAAATTGGGATCCTCCTGCCTCAGGCTCCTGAGTTGTTGAAATTATAGGTGTGAGACACTGTGCAGAGCTACAAAGCACTTTTATAGAAACTAACAAAGTGATTGCAAAGTTTATGTGAAAATGAATAAGACCTAGAAAGCCAAAAATACATTGATAAAAGAGAACAAAGTGGAGGACTTACAGTACCTTATTTCAAAACTATTTTAAAACTACAATAATCAAGAGAGTAAGGCACTGGTGTAAGGAAAACAATAAGTAATTAGGACAGAATCGGGAGCCGAGAAATAGATTCAAAGTAATTCAATTAGAAAAATTGAATTGTAGTTGAAAATTTTAACTGTAGTTGAAAAACTGAATATCCATATGGGAGGCGCCTTAACCTGAACTTCACATATGCCAGAAAAAAGTAATTCCAAGTGGATCATATACATAAAAACACAAAAGTTAAAAAAAAAAGGCTTCTATAGGAAAACATAGAGCACCTTCATGAGCTTACAGTAAACAAGTACTTCTTAGCCAGGACACCATTAACTGTAAAAGTAAAGATTGACAAATTTAACTTTATCAAATATGGAAACATTTTTTCTAATCAAATGATACCTTTAATAAAATTAATAGGTTTAGCTGTAGACAGAGAGAAAATATTTACAAAATCATTACCCTGAAGAAAAGACACATATTCAAAAATAAATAAAATTTGAAAACATCAATAAAGAGGAAACACTACAACCTAATTTTTTAAGTTTAATAAGACAGACAACTCTGTTCAAACACAAATTATTGCGAGGTGGAAAAATCCTGAAGAATGTAAAAACCCCAAACCAAACCAAACAAAATACAACTACACTCAAGGACAGAAGAAGCTACAAATGCCAAGAAGCACATGGCAAATGCTGAACATGCATATTTGACCTGGGAATGCAATTTAAACTCACTATGAGACACAACTATCTCGCTTTAAAATGTCTAAAACTTCTAAGAAGGGACAGTGACAAATGCTGGCAAATCTGAAGCATCT